TGAAGACCTATTCTACCCTGGATCTTCACGGGTTCTGGCCTATAAGTGCAATAGAACTCTTACAAGAAGCAAAAAGTCTTATTTCACATCTACCATAGTCAATGTCAAATCATATTACTTGTGGCAATCATATGTACAGACACTGCCTATAATCACAGCGAAGAGCCTCAGCAGTACCCAATGGTACATTTTTCCACTTATCATGGAGATGAACCATTAGCCATAGGTCATTAACTGTGCAGGGAACGGTCAATCAGTCTTGTAGTCTCACCAATTGGCACTGAAGTCCCAAAATACACCTCAACTGACCCCAAGCCCCATGTAGACACATAACTCCAGTAAGATGTTATTTTTATTTCTTAACACAGAGGTTAGCCATTGATTTAAAGATGCTTTTACTCTTGCCAAACACTATTGCAAAATCAAACTTAAATCAAGTCCGCTCATTGAGAAATCTATCCAAGCGGCAACACAACTTGGATGAACCATGCGAGCAAGAGTTCAAAAGTTTATTGGGTCCTGAAATAAATTTATCTATTGTAACAGAAGATCTTCCTTATTTGTGAGATCAGGATGCTAAGATTAGAAAATAATGAGGGTAGCTGGTAGAAAAGGGACAAAACAGACATTGAGACTTGACCCAGTTTGTAAATATCCATTTAGGTTGGTTGGTTGTTTTACGCTGCACTCAGCAATATTCCAGCTATATGACGGCGGTCTGTAAAATAATCGAGTCTGGACCAGACAATCCAGTGATTGACATGAACATCGATCCACGCAGTTGGGATCGATGACATGCGTCAACCAAGTCAGCGAGCCTGACCACCCGATCCCGTTAGTCGCCTTTTACGACAAGCATAGTGGCCTTTTACGGCAGGCATGGGTTGCTGAAGACCTATTCTACCCTGGAATTTTCACGGGTCATATCCATTTGATAATGACATAATGATGGTAGAAAACCAAAGTAAAGTAAAATACAGTAAACTATACGGTTATAACAAACTCAAAGGTACTACTAATTTTAGTTCGTTATAACCGTAGTACGTTATAAGCATATATACAGCATAACTACAGCAAATAGTTGGGACCAAAAAAGTTCATTAAATCCGTCAGATCGTTATAAGCATGTTCATTATAAGCGTAGTTTAGTGTACATTGAAAATTGGCACGTTGTGTTGAGAGACATTTCTTCATGATCTGTAAAAACATACACTGATCAACAAAAATAAGTCATATTCTGAATATGATGCAAGTGATGTCCTATAAACAAATTTATCAATCTTGTCCTGAAGGACAGTGAGTGAGTGAGTGAGTTGGGTTTTACGCAGCTTTTAACAGTATTCCAGTTATATCGCGGCGTGTCAGCTTAATGTGGGAGGAAAGCCTGAAGTGATGCAGGTCTCAGACGTTTACAACTTCGGTGAAACCCACGAGCAAGGGTATGGTGCTGACAAACCTAGAAACATAATCGGGGCAAACCGGGATTCGAACCCACAATCATAGGTTTCTGGCGTGCCCAAGGGACGCAACTCTGCACAACGAATCGCGGCGCCTTAGACGACTGGGCCACCCGTGCCCCCCCTGAAGGACAGAGTCAGGTGCATTTCTAAACATAATGCTTTCATGATGCCAGCACTCTCTCAAGCAATGAAATTAATGTTTCTTGTATCATGGCCAGATGTCTGCTTATTTTCTTGACACTCATCCCTCTATATGTTTATATCATGTTCTTGTATTGTGGATATCTATATATTACATATTTTCTGCCATATAAATAGGTAATGCGTGTATACATTATCCTCCACTCTGTGTCATCCCATAATGAGATGTTTATTACTCTGCTTTCAATCTCAACTCTTTCTGCGATCTACTTAATGAAAAACAAATCATGTGTGAATTTGGCAGCATCCACTTTTGAACCTTCATCTTCAAAGCACAACTTAATTTGTTTGAATTTTTGAATTTTAAAACAACTAAATTTAATGTAAAAAAAGTGCATTTAAATTCACATCACCATCAATTACTCTCAAGTAAATCTATTCTCCAAATCTTCAAAGGAGGCCCTATCACTACATTTATCACAGAGTTGGTTGAGACAGTGGCACTGATTAAGCATGCTGATTGGTCAGATCTACTGATTTAGATCTGTTCTTATTGGTTAATCCCAAAGGCACCTGTTATTGCCATTGGTGTCAATGAATTTGATTGGCTGATGCACATCAGAGGCCTGACCAACATATGACCTCCCTACAGGGTATCGATTGCATCAGTGTCTATCAAGACTGGATGAGAGGCAGTAAGTCTGATTTGAACATACAGTGAGGATTCCTTGCATACACCACAGCATAACAAATGAATACCAAATAGGAATAACAGTATCTGCAATTAAGTGCTCTATTCTTAAAAGTAGGGGCAATAGGGTAGCCAAGTGGTTAAGCTTTCACTCACGTGGGTTCGATTCCCCACGTGGGTACAATGTGTGAAGCCCCTTTCTGGTGTTCCCTGTCGTGATATTGCTGGAATATTGTGAAAAGCGGCATAAAACCAAACTCACTCACTCACTCTTAAAAGCATTTTCAATGAATTAGGTTTGGTTTGGTTTGTTTGTTGTTTAACACCACACTCAGCATTATTACAGCTATATGACGGCGGTCTGTAAATAATCCAGTCTCGATCTATGTAATTGGGATACAATGATATACATCAACCAAGTCACTGAGTCTGACCACCATATCCATTAAGTCCCTCTTATGACCAGCATTGGTTGCCAGGGAGCAGTTCTAACCTGGAATCCCCATGGGGCTATAATAACATGAAGACAATGAATGCATGCATACAATAAAGGCCTCTATGTAACTCTCACAGACAATGGATAGGTAGTCCTGTACAATGACTAGGGAATATCTGAATTTAATTTAATCAAATGCAACCCTGATCATAAAGAAAGGCAATTTTAACTCACCATATTCCACAGCATTAGAAAAAGATTTAAAAGAGAGAAATTTAGTGTGCAATAAAGGTTTCACAGGCTGAATACTAATCTGGTCTGAAGATGGCCGAGAGAAAGGGATGGGGAGGCTGATTGTTGGTTTGCATTATCTCTTGTCATGTCAATCAAAGCCAACAGCTGATTTGTTCCCCCTTCTACCTCCTCCAGTGGATGTTGCCTCCAGAATATAAATACGGGCAGGTCAGTGATGCCAGTAATAGCATAGGCTAGGCTTGATAAGCATCATTACAATACTGTCTTGTGAGCGTCTGTGGTGAATATAATTGTGGAAATACACATCTGTGCATGATTTGTGTCATATTGTTATTTGTTTAGATGCACATAATCCAAATCTTCTCATTTTCGTGGGGCCTCATGGTTAGAGTGTTCGCTCATCCCGCTGATGACCTGGGTTCAATTCCCACATGGGTATAATGTGAGAAGCCCATTTCTGGTGTACCTTACCATAATGGTGGAATATTGCTAAGAACGACGTAAAACCATACTTGCTTTCTCACTGTCATTTTCTTGGTGTAAAGTTTTGAGGAAGATAGGCCTGTTCCATAAGGCATTGTCTATTCATAGACCTCATCAGTTATAAACCAAAACATGTTATCCTTTGGGACTAAACTAATCTAAATTACATTGTGTTTCTCTCTTTATGTTCAACTCCCACAGTAATGTAAAACAATTTGAAGAAAACCGATAATTTGATATGTAGCTTTCTTTACATTTCATTGAGGTCCTCATGTTACAGATGCATGAAGCTGTTGTTATATGATCAAATGAGAAACAGTATAGATAGTCCATAGACAAGGCAGCTCTAAAGGGAACTGCATCTGAGGAGATTCATGATGAAAACATTTTTTAACTCCCATCCCTCATTTAGGAACATATAAAAAATTAAATACATTTCAAATGCTCCTTTAACTGCTTTTGGAGCAAATACAATCAAATGAAATTCAAAACTTTTTTGGCTTGGTATTCCTGCCCTTCTTTGAAAGGCATTTAGAAGTTGGAATACTAAGTCATGATAAGAATTTATGGATGAATAACTTCTTCATTACAATTAAGTGTATTCCTGCAATACTTGTGTTTGGATGCATAATAACATTCTGATTAGGGTCTATAAAAAAAAAAATAGGTTCAAATTTCAAAATTAATTTTAAAAAACCTGATGTATTGTATATCATCATTGATGCATTGATGCATTAATGCAATATGTTTGCTCCTTTGATATATGTATAGTTTTGAAACATCAATCAGTTTGCCATTTAAAACCACCATTGTGTGATTACTGTGGTCCCTCTTGCAGGCCAATATACAGCCTTTAGATTTCAGTCAGCTAATATGTTTCAGTTATGAGAAATAAAGGGTTATGTACTTCTTGGTTTAAAGAACTACATTTGTTCTTTTTAAAACCATGATACATAAGAGGCAGCAGAATGATAGTGGTCCCTGAAGAGATAGATGCATGCCTGGAATTACGCCACATAATCTTCGGAACCAACTAAAACAACCAGAAATGCAATTCTGTCTGTTATCAAGCATCAGTTTGAAATCACACCTCACACAGAATAATGACATCAGGTGAGGTGAAATTGGGTTTAACGTCGCGTCCAAGATTATTGCACTTATATAGCGACGTGCATGCACGTGTATGTGTGTGTGTGGCTGCTTGTACTAGTCCGGACTGATGCCGATTTATAGTGCTAGCTCACTGAGATACCATGCCGCAGTTTAACATGAATACCCCACTCAGACACAGTATACTGACTCCGAGCCGACCAGTCCTTGTTTTAGCCCCTTAATGCCGAGCGCCAGACAGGGTAACAACAAGTACAATCTTTTAACGTCTTTTTGTATGACGCGGCCCGGGATCGAACCCTGGACCTTCCGCTCTCCGGGCGGACGCTCTACCACAAGACCACGGAGGCGGTCAATGACATCAGGACACAGGGAGATGGAACTCATACAACCTTCCCCCATCCCATCAGGGAAGGGTGATTTATTATATAGTGGGGGAGGAGGGACATGGGATGGCGGTGTAGGGGTTGGTGGTGGTCGGTGGTAATTGATGGGGTTGGAGGGAAATGGGGGTGGGTGGGTGTAGGTGGAATGTTGGGGTGGGGTTGGAGGGAAATGGAGTTGAGGTGCAGGGGTGGGTGGGTATGTTGGGTATGTTGGGGTGGGGTTGGAGGGAAATGGGGGTAGGTGTAGGGTTAGTGTGGGGGTGAATGTTGGGGTGGGGTTGGAGGGAAATGGGAGTAGGTGTAGGGTTAGTGTGGGGGTGAATGTTGGGGTGGGGTTGGAGGGAAATGGAGTTGAGGTGTAGGGTTGGTGGTGGTGGGTGTGTTGGGGTGGGGGTGGAGGGAAGTGGGGTGGAGGGAAGTGGGATGGAGGTGTAGAGGTTGGTGGGGGTTGGGAGGAATGTTGGGGTGGGGTGGGGTGAGGGAACTGAGGTGGAGGTGTAGAGGTTGGTGGGGGTTTGGAGGTGGGTGGTGGGTGGGGTTGGAGGGAACTGGGATGGAGGTGTAGAGGTTGGTAGGGGTTGGGAGGTGGTGGGTGGTGGTGATAGATTGTGGTAGATGGGGATGTAAGGGTGGTGAAACAATTTGCGGGGATAGTAACCCTTGTAAAACGATAGTTCCATCAAAGTCTTATGTTCATGCAGTGAAATATTAAGGGTTATCATTTTTCTCAACTTCAGAAAACTTTCACACTGAAGTGTATAATAAATGCCAAATTAAATGTCAAGAAAAATATGGAGACGCATTTGATAAAATATCAATATTATTATATTTGTTTATTCTAAAGTTCTGAACTATTCAGTCAATTTGTCAAGGTCCAATACTTTGTGTCCCTCCCCTCAAATTAAATACTCTCAGGAGGAATAGCATTCCTGCAAATACACTCGTGGATTCCAATAGATCATATCTGCAGTGTTTCATTAGACCACAATGATCACTATGAAATATATTGGAATGAAATTCCAACGATGCTATGAAGTAGAAATTCAAATTTTGGGCCCAAATGTATTTTCACAAATGCTTTATTCTTTGATCAAAGAATCAAAAGTTCAATCTTGTCCTGATGGAGGTTTATTTCACAAGGACATGAAGTTGCTTACTTTATAACATTCTCTGGGGGCTGAGGCTCTGACTTGTTTGTCATGGCATGTATTGGCAGAAACCTACTTGCGGTTATTACCACAACTCTTGATCCTTAATTTTGTCGGAAATAGTTCGATTCATGTCAGTAAATTAAGAGCAGGAACTGCTCTCTTGGAACTGCAGTATTCTGCAAGATTAAAGCAGCGACTTCAAACCCATTAAGTCTTGTATGACACTTAATACTCAATTTGCCTTATAAAAACATCTCATCATTGAAACCATGTGTAGGGTATAAACTGCCTGCATGCTGTGCATTATTCACTGCAGCAGAATGCATGTAGATGTGATGCTTACATTCGATCCACAAACTAAGATATGTAAAGACATATAGTCGCTCTACAATGGGCTTTTCTTCACAGTGTTGTTACCATTAGGATTCTGGAGCTCTGTTTATAACTCAGCAATAAAAGCATGTTTGATCTAAAATACTGTGTGAAACGCGGAGTGAAACGCAAGCGAGAAAACAACATCCTCTCACCTCAGACAAGAGCCAAGATAGCCAGATATGCAGCGGAAAACGGTAACACAAGAGCAGCAAGACATTTTAGTGACACATTAGGGGTCAAAATTGGCGAGAGTTCTGTTGAGAAAAGAAGACACTGCTGCCACAGTCAACGAGTTAAATCACAAACTTAGAGGAAGGCCGCTACTGTTGGAAGAATGGGGGAGGTATCATCAATTATAACATCGTTTTGGCATTGGCCTGAGGGATTGTCCTGCACGAAAACAGATTTCTATTGTCCAAGTTTGGAGGGCCCATCGAACTTTCGAAATCATGGGCAGAATCGTTCCTGAACAGGATGGGATTTGAGAAGCGAAAGGGTACCAAAACAGCGAGGAAGTTGCCACAAGATTTCGAGAAGAAAAAGGTCGAGTTCATTTCCACTGTAGGGGGTGTGATAGAGGAACAGAAGATACCAGACGAGTTGGTGATCAACTTTGATCAATCAGGCGTCAAGATCGTTCCAGTTTCCAATTGGACAATGACTGACTGTGGTTCAAAGCAAGTGGACATAATCGGATTAGACGACAAACGAGAAATAACAGCGCTTCGTGGATGCACCCGAAGTGGAGACATGCTACCCCCCAAGTCATCTCTCAAGGGATAACCGAGAAGTGTCCAACGAAGTTCGACTTCCCAGCTGATTGGCACGTGACACACTCAGCCAATCACTGGAGCACAGAGGAAACCATGCTCGGGTATGTGGACAGTGTGTTAGTCCCGTACGTGAAGAAAAGAAAGAAAGAAGAAAGAAGAGAAGCTTCCAGTCAAGCAAAAATCTTTGCTTATCTTTGACGTCTTTGCCGCTCACAGGTGTGAATCGTTCCTTGGACTATTGAAAAGAAGGAACTTTGTCGTGAAATTCGTCCCAGCTGGCTGTCCTGGAGAGTTACAGCCATTGGATTTGTCAGTCAACGCAGAATTCAAAAATGCTTTGAAGAGCGAATACACTGACTTGTATTGAAAGAAGGTTGTTGAAAATTTGAAAGATAAGAGTAGTGACAATGTGAATTTGAAGATCAGTGTCATGAAACCGATTCACGCAAGATGGCTTGTTTCCTGTGTGGACAAAATTGCAAAGGACACTGACGCAATCAAGCAAGGTTGGAAGAAGGCAGGATTACTGTGAGGTAACAGTAACACTGATTGGTCTGTTTACACTGTCATTTGTGATGTATGGTGTGACCATTCTGCATTCATTTGAGTTTTTAACTTATTGAGTAACTTGTGGTTCTGGTTGATGATTTCAACATTTGATGACGTGTTGCAATGAATAAAGTATGTATGTATTTTTTATACTTATTTTTGCGTTTTTAATTTTTGCAAAAAATTCCCTGTTTACAGTAGTCTTGTGTACATTGATCAATCGGTAGGGGTGCTAATTGGGATTGTTCACCAGCCAATATATCAGCAAGTGTCACCGTGGGCGCTTATTAGCGCAGGGCGCTTATTACTTCGAATACGGTTACTGGCAAAAATGAGTCCCCCCCCCAGGAGGACAGTTAACTTCAAAATCCTCCACCAAATAACAGTCATTACAAGTCAGTTAACTGCGTTTATAACGAACACGCTTATAACAAACGGACCAATATAACAGACTTATTTTTTAGTTCCGTCCATTTGTTGTATATGTGGTGTATATATGCTCATAACGAACTACGGTTATTGTGAACTAAAATTAGTGGTCCCTTTGAGTTTGTTAAAACTGTATTGTGTTTACTGTATTTCAATTAAGGTGAGAGGAGGTGAAACGGGGTTTAATGCTCCATTAGGGATTATTCCACTAGGAAGCATGTATGTGTCTGTCTTCGGTGCTGGTCCAGACTAATGCTGGTTTTATAATGCTTGAGCACTGAGACACCATGCCACAGTATAGGACAGAAACCCTACTGATTACCAACTGGCCAGTCGCTGATTTATCTCGTTAACACCAGGGGGCAACAACAGGTATTATCTTGTATGTCTTTTGGTATGACGCAGCCAGGTGAACGAACCACTATCCGCTCCCTTGGTCTGTTACGTTTAATACAACCTTGACATCGTTAATGGGTTTTCTCAACATCCTTCTGCTCATGACTTACCTGAACATGAGCTGCTCATTGTGTGAGGTGGGTAATTACCAAGTACATTGACATATGTTAGACATGCAGGCATCAGACTCCGGATCTTGTTATCTCCGCTCAGCTCATCAAAGAGGCTTACTCTGCCTTTAAGAACATTAGCACTGCAAACATGCATGTGTTGTTTGTTATTCAGATGGCATCTATTTTTGAGTGAGTGAGTGAGTGAGTGAGTGAGTGAGTGAGTGAGTGAGTGAGTGAGTGAGTGAGCAAGCAAGCGAGAATGCTACTTCAAACAGTATTTCAGGAACACAAATGGAGGCAACCACAAAGTGACTCAGGTCATGGAGGTGTACCTGTGTGATGAAACCAACATGTCTTCTTATGACACAAACAAACCAAGGAACAAATTCAAGGCTAAGTAATTAACATTTAAGAATAGACTATGGATCTTTTTTGGTTCAGAGTGTGAGTATGGTTTTACGCTACTTTTAGCAATATTCCAGCAATATCATGGCGGAGAACACCAGAAATGAGCTTCACACATTGTACCCATTTGGGGAATGGAACCTGAGTCTTTGGCATGATGAGTGAACGTTTAACCACAAGGCTACCCACCACCCCTAAAGCCCCTTTGAACAGTATTCCAGTTATATCATGGCATGTCAGCTTGATGTGGAAGGAAAGCCCAAAGTGTTGCATGTCTTAGACGTTTACCACTTTTGTAAAACCCACATGCTTGGTTATTGTGCTGATAAACAACGAAACATAATCAGGACAAACCAGGATTAACTTTCTAATCAGCACCAAGGCTTCTAAATTCTCAGTACGAGTGAGCAAAGCATTCAGACAAGCATATCTGGTTTCTTTTTCCAAAAATGAATATTATCAGGGACAGCCTACTGTCGTTTCTGAGCGACGTGGTGTCTGCACTCCAAAGGGAATACAAGTGAATATTCGTGTTCTATGTTAGTTTTTATTGTACAAACCAAAACTTCCAAATTGTGGCAGTGAAAAATACAAAGCCAAATCATTTTAGATATCTGACATGTCATTGGCTCAAGAACCCTCACACCCTTCCTTTAGATTGGGGAGGGTCAAAGTTCGCTCAGGGTTCAAGACATTCTATGGAGGTGTCAACCGATTATTACGCAGAGAGGTATTGCAGAGAGGTATCGTATTGGAGTAAAGGATCTGATTATAATTAGATTGAATGCAGACCAAGAATAATACTGTTCATGTTCCATAACCTGAGTCAAGCAATCATAGGCGACATTACTTCATAATTACAGTCATGGTATCCAGACAATGCTCAAAGATTAAAACAGCCAGTCAAATATCTTTATGTATGCTTTCAAGACACACAGAAATTGACATTTAGGTTATTTGATAAAAACCCTGTGCAAGCCTCTTTACACGTACTGTACTAACAACAATATGTCGTTTATTCTGATGAATGTGTAGGTACAAATAACTTGTAAACTGAGTTTCAACAAAGTCAGTTAAATCACAGCATGATCAACTGGGGGACAAACATTGGATACTGGGGGACAAGCATTGGATACTGGTGGACAAGCATTGGATACTTGTGGACAAACATTGGATACTGGTAGACAAGCATTGGATACTGGTGGACAAGCATTGGATACTGGTGGACAAGCATTGGATACTGGTAGACAAGCATTGGATACTGGGGGACAAGCATTGGATACTGGGGGACAAGCATTGGATACTTGACAAACATTGGATACTGGTGGAGAAACACAGGATACTGGGGGACAACATTGGATACTGGTGGACAAGCATTGGATACTAGTGGACAAGCATTGGATACTGTTGGACAAGCATTGGATACTGGGGGACAAGCATTGGATACTGGAGGACAAGCATTGGATACTGGTGGACAAGCATTGGATAC